CACTGAGCACAAAGGAACAGTGTTACAAGCTTGCAATGATCCAGTGACTGGAAATAAAGAATTGTGACATGAAATGTCACAGCTTTCAGCATCTTTAATGATAAACAGTAAATCCAGAATCATATCCCCTCCTTTGCTTTTCTTTCGAGGAAGCTGCCATTTCCTGACTAAACACCAATGTCCTTAATGCCACATTGAGAGGATTCAGCAGAATCCTGTGGCTTCAGGGACAAGTAGGATATTGAGCTGAGGCTGGTGGAATACAGAGTTTATTTGATGGGCAGAAAGAAGTGGAAGCTGACAGTTCATCCAATTTCCCGAGGATTGCGATCTTATTGTAATAAGACAATAAAAGCCTGAAATGTGGAACGCATTAAGCTAATGATGTGAAGCACAAAACAGACAGTGACCTCTGGACCTGACCCAGCCAGCCTTTTCACTATATCCTGCTTCTGTCCTACATCTGGGTCACAAAATGAAAAGCAGATTTAAATCCCTCAACACAATATTACTTATGGCACAGTGAAGCGCTCGATGTGACCTTGTGTTATTTCACTTTTCTGTTATGCGGTCGGTTTCATAACAGCATGAAACTACAAAGAAAACTTCTCTTTTATGTTGCCCTATACACATACACACACACACACACACCGTAATTTCCTCCCATATTTGCAGCAGCCAAGGGGAAACAGCAGGAATTTGGAAGTCACAGATGTATTTTTTTAAACTGACGATTACTGTAGGTACCCGAATGTGTGGGAGGCCGACCCGATGGAATTCAACTTCATTGCCAATCTGCTGCCAGAGCCACTTGTACCCACGATCCAGCATCACAAAAATCAGAACCGGGGTCAGAGGATCTCCTGTGAGTTGTTCTCTAACACACCTTGCAGAATCCGTAAGTTGCACATCCATATTTTAATGCTTTAAACACAGAATCATGAATAACTTGGCACTCTTGGAAAGCATACAATCTAGGCTGATGCTCCAATGTGGGATGTGCTCCATTGTTAGAGGTGCCATCCTTTTGGTAAGACATTAAAGGTGGGTGTTAAAGATTCCATGGCGCTACTGTATTCAATTAATATAATAATAATAATCCTTGCATTTGATATAGCTTCTTTCATAGCAGGAAGATATCTGACTTCAAAGGGGATACTGTGAAGTATAATGACAGCATTCTGTAGGCAAACTCAGCAACCTCTGTGCACCACAAGGGGTTACAGCACAGAAACAGACCATTCGGCCCATCAAGTCTACACTTCTCCACATGACGTATCCAATCCAATCCCATTCCCCTGATCACTTCCTGCACCCTTCACCATTCCTCCTCCTCAAGCATCTATCCAATTCCACTTCAAAACAATTGATAGGTTCTGCAAAATAATTACACATCACGACCAGCCCTGCATAAAGAAATTATCTTTAATCTCCCTTTTATTTACTTCTGTGGTTATCTTAATTTTTCTCCTGCCTATCAATGCAGAAAACCCCAAATCCATGTTATCATAAGAACTGGCTTTGGATTTTTTCAAAATTGCAGAAGCTGCAGCACATTAGCGAGTCGCATTTTACATCTGTTAACAATTAAGTTGAAATCTTCAGTCTTCCTGTGATGTTTTACTTCCCCCTCCTCAGTGTTCCCTTAATGGCCCCACAGCCAAAAGCACAAATAGTAACAGTACAACTAAGAGAAACTCTCTCAAAAAGTTCTGTTTGGTGTGTGCCATTTTCGAAACAGAGCTAAAGAAAAAAGTTTAAGGAAATATCAGAACAACCCCCCAACTCTTATATTCTGTAGCAGATTATAATAATAAATAATGAATGCATTTGATATAGCACCTTTTCACGTTGTTGAGATGTCTCAGAGTGCTTCGCAGGAAACACTGCAAAGCGGTGAAACTGTGTGTATACCCAGGTAAACGCAGCAGAACGATGAAACTGATGCTAGAAAGGAACATAACTTTTTGCCCCATTTTCCCATTTGCTGTGATCAGCGACAAGCAACAACAACAACTTGCCCTTATCTAGCGCCCTCCACGCAGGGTAGTGTCTCAGAGCGCTTAACAATGGCGGAGCCTGACTCCGAGCCGGGGGTGGGGAGAAGGTGACCGTAAGCACAGTCGAAAAGGAAGGTTTTAAGGCGGGACTTGAAAAAGGGGAGAGACGGGGCATGGCGGAGGGATTGAAGGAGAGTGTTCCAAAGTTTCGGGGAGTAGTGACTGAAAGTGCGACCTCCAATGGTGGAGAGGAGAGTGAGAGGGACAGGTGGAGCCAGTGGAGTCTGGCCAGAACTGGTGAGATGCGGGTACAGAGTTTGGTCCAGTTAAGTATGGGGGCAGCACGGTTCTGAATGATCTGGATTTTTTGAATAGGGAAATGACAATCGCATGTACAAGGGTTTCAGCTGCATTTGGGGTAAGGTACGGTCGGAGGAGGGCAATGTGACGGAGGTGGAAGAAGGCGGTCTAGTCAGGGACCGGATGTGTGGTAGGAAGGACAGTTGGAGGTCAAACCGGACGCCTGATTGTGCACTGGTTTGGTGAGTCTGAGGGAAAGCCCAGAGAGGTTGAGGAGTTTAGATCCGCAGGAGTGAAGACATTGACGAGAGCCAGAGTATGGCTTCCGTCTTGACTATTCAAATGCAGGAATATGTCAGCAGAATTTTAAGTTTCAAACTGTTTTCACTAAACTAAAAGTACATTTCTGCAAAGGTTCAGTGAATTTGGTGTTTGCTGGGGTGAGACGTTCCAGCGCTGAAAGTGGGACGTGTTCCCACTTTCTCCCTAGCCAGGTACCTCACAGCCACATCAGGAATTCATCTCTCTCTAGTCTGCCAGACGTCTTACTCCACCCTCAGAGGAACTTCTCCCACCGCACCCGTGAGATTTATTCCACTCCTCACATCAGCCATCTTTATGACTTCTCTATCCTTAGCAATTTTCGCTGAATTACAGGCATAGTGAACATGTGGCTTTTAGGAATTACATTCAGTCAGCCAAAGCACAGCTTCCATTTTTCCTGCCTGTCAGTGTGTACAGACACTGAAGACCCATTGCACCAGACATGTCTGCACTGACCCGCTGCACTGTTCTCTTCCTGCACTGACCCACTGCACTAGTCTCAAACTCCTCCAAATATTTGTTCTTACACTTACTTCAAAACAAAATTCTCTGGTTGATCTGAAGAACTGCAGGCTGCTCACCTGTTGCCGCATGACATGATACTCATGACTCATAAAAAGAAATAATTTAGAAGCCAATATTCAGTGGAAGGTTATCAAGCACAGCCTCACAACACAGGCCAGTCGGTCACTAGAAATGCCACTCCAGCCAGAACATTGTGAAGACTATAAATTTTCTCGAGCATGGGAGGCCAGCGCCTGACTGACTCCAGCACATTAAATTGGTGTGTGGACATTTGAAAAGGGGGCACAGTGACCTTAAACCAACAGCTGGAACAGGTTACCTTGATTGAAGCCACACCACTGGATTCACGAAAACAGCTCGATGGTTTTATGAGACAATGGTAGGCTGGGAATTCTGGATGGATGAAATCAAATGGGCTAAAGGGCGTTCTTCATCTGAACCTCCCTTGTTACCTCGCGAAATACAGTCTCGTGTTACAGCCCATCAGAATATCAAAATCTAAATATATAGTGTCCTTTAGGGGAAGTCCATTTTTCTCTTTGCAGAGATATTAAAGTAAAGGACGTCATAACTTTCTATGTCTCCATGCTCTAATATACGTTGTGATGTACATTTACATGGGTTTATGCAGAAAACATATCCCCCAAAATCACAGGCAGAAATTACGGCAGAACGCTGTTCACAATATGTGATGAAAGCACACTACCAGGTGGTCAAAATAGACTCTTAAAAACTGAATGGTTCCGGTCATCACTTTAGTCTATGAACCAATATATTGATTGTATATTCATGAGAACATGACAAAAAATATTTTTTTGCTTGCATTGTGCTACAGTGACAAGACAATCCATCAAGTCTTCAGGTCTCTATGTGCTCAGTTTTCAATCTTAAGACAATGTGCCTCTACATAATATTGCTGAGCCAAGGTTAGGCTCTTTTTTACAATAACAGGAATAAAACTGGAAGGACAGTTTTGACCAGGGCACTGTTAGGTACCCGGGAGCTGGCTTCAGAACAATATTTTGGAACAATATAATTTGTAAGGATTACTAATATTAGTGATGAACATGACTCCCACTCAATCGTGGGATGGTATGTGGCAAAGGAAAGCCCGGAAAAAAAAGTAGAAATTAAAGAAAAATATCTGTAGTTAAGAATAATAATCCTTGTATTTGATGACACCTGATCATGTCATCGATATGTCTCACAGCATACAGCAATGTCCTACTACAAACAGCCATAAAATATCAATGACCAATTTTATCTGGAGGACTGTTGGCCAGGACACCAGAAGAAACTTCCTCTCTTTTTGAATGGAACATTGTAAAAAAGGAACAGGAGGAGGCCATTCAGCTCATCAAGCCTATTGCACAGGTTTATTAGATCTTGGCAGATTCTTTTATCCTAATGCCCCACCCACTCACCATACTCCTGAGCACTTATAGTATTTAAGTATGTGTCTAACTCTCTTTTAAACAACCTTATCAATTCAGTTTCTACAGGTGTTTGGGGCAGAGCAATTCAAATCTTTATAAGCCGCTGTGTGAAGAAATGTTTCCTAACCTCCATTCTAATTTTTAGGCCTATGTTCCCTTGTAACGATGCCTTTTTCCTTTGTAGTGCCATGGGATCGCTAACATCTACCTGAACAGACAAACTGGACCTCTGTTGAATGGTTCATCTGAAGGACCACAACTCTGACAATGCAGTGCTGCTCCAAACTATAATGAATGGTAAAGATATCCTCTGTATCAATGACATCGCAGTCAAAGTTATAAGATCCTCATAGATGTAGGAAGCAAGCCAATTTTTTCGCAAACAAAAACAAGATATCTCATGATGGAAACTTACCTGGGAGAATCAGGGTGGAAGGAGAAGGGTCCTCCTTGTCTTTGATCCTATTGCCATTCTGAGACCAATAAATGTGCACGGGATATGGTGGTCCGACAGCCTCGCAGACAAGAGTAAAGGGTTCATTTCTGGTAACGTTTTGTTGTTCTGGTTCTTGAACAAAAGTTGGCAACCCTGTAAAAGGAACAGAAGCTCACTTGAAATATCCCCACTTCTCTCTTTGTTGAGACATGGAAATGAATGACAGCAAAAACAAAACAAAAACTATAATAATAATAATCCTTGCATTTGATATAGCGTTTTTCACATCGGGAGGACGTCCCAAAGCACTTCACAGAACACACTGTAAAGTGAATTGACTGTATATTTGTGGGCGAACGCGGCAGCCAATTGCGCACAGCAATGTCCCACAAACAGTCGTAGATTGAAAATAACCAATTTATTATTGTTTTTGGTTTGGGAGGAATTATTATTAGGCGTGTGGAGTAAGGAAACTTGCCCAAGGTTTCGCCCTGCCTGGAATTGAACTCAGGTCTCTCACTTGCAAAGCGAGTGTTCTAACCACTGAGCTACAGGACTCCATAAAACGACAAGTTTCCACAGTCCATTTACAATTGCAATTCCATGCTTGGATACTTTCCATTCTCAATTTGGTCTTGTATTCATTTGGCAGTGCAAAGTCTCCAGTGTCCTTAGCTCTCAAATCAATATCACAACCAACCTATCCACAGCTGATTCACAACCAAGACCTGGATTCCTCAGTAAGGAATACTGTTAAGAAATACCTCAAATTAGACCCCTTTATGGGTTACAAGCCTGCATTGCAATTGAAGATGTTTCAATCGCGTTGTAAACCAACACATTTTATCCTTATTATTCTTACATTTTGGAGCAAGGTGACAGAGAATATTGTTGGACCTGTCAATCTGCTCCACCATTAAGTCTAAGGCAATTCTTTAATTCCACTTCCCCTCCAGTGAAGACAGTTAGATAATGAAGCCTAATCTGTTAATTGAATCCCAAACTTTCTCTACTTAAGCATCTGTATAAGGATCCCTCTGATCCCTCCTTTCCCTTCCACTTACACTGAGTGGTATATGTGAGTAGCTGGGGGGTGGGGGAGTGAGAGGAACATGCAAGAGTGTCAGAGGATTTGAGAAGGGACCTTGTTAAGAATTTAATATAGCTATATAAGTAGAGAAAGTAAATGAATATGAATAGCAAGAGGGCACAACAAGTTTAAGACAATAGGAAGCATATGTTAGCACGGAAGATAACAGTTTGCATTCCCAATTCTGCCAATCTCAGGAAAGTAGTAGGTAAAATGCTATTCATCTTAGCACCACGTCTCCTGGGATTGAGAGGGATGGATAGGAGGGGTGGATATCAAACAGGGTTCCTGCTCACAATCATTGTCCACTGATTTCTGGTGGCTAAAAATGCAGTGCAAACACGATGTTCGGCGTCAATCCACACTGCTGTGAAGCACTCCAAGATTTTATCCGAGTGAAGGAGTCTTTATAAATGCAAATTGTGGTTGCAGTCAAATAACGTGCTGTCATTCACCACCCAGCCTCCTTCATAAAGAACAGAGGAACCAGAGGGTGTGGGCCCAGTCAGTGTGTAACCATTCTCCACCTCCAGGCCTGCTTTTTGAGAGGAGAGCGAAAAAAAGTACAACACAATACATACCTTCTACTTGAAGTAAGATTTTTTCTGATTCAATAAATACACGAGCAATCTGTACCCTACAGTTGTAAGCTCCAGCATCAGAACGCTGTATGTTGGAGATGCTATGAAAGAAAAAAATACAACTGTACTCTCAACACACTGAGGACATTGACTACATTTCATAAATGTACTGTTAGCTCTGGCCAATGTACAATAGAGGCTCTATAATAATAATTTTGCATTAGAAGACATTTTCAAGGCTGTCACGTGTTTGTAAAAATGTATTAAACGTTTGTAAGGATTACCAGGACAATAGAACACCATTTGACGCCAGTCAGGGACAACAAAATCAGTGGCTGAGAGGAAATATTTTCATTATAATAGAAAAGATGTGAACAGATAGTTTTATTTACTTACAAATTATTTATCGCATGTATTTTCCCCGTTGTGAGATGGCTGGTATTTAACATGTTCAGTATTTCAGGAGTTGGAAGATATTTCAGACAATGGGAGTTATTTCACAATGATCATGAAAATTAGCCCTAGCAAAATATCACTATTCTTAAGGTAGAAGGTAACTTATTTACTTATTTTACAGTAATGTAGTACGTGCTGAAGTAGCAGCCTGACACCGATAAAAAGATTAGGAAAACTAAATGCTTAAGTTGCAGAGCACAGCAACCCCCTTACCTGCAACTGTTTAAAACTGTGGTCTTTCCGTCACCTCCAGGAATGGTAAGTTCCCTGAGAAAGAAGCGTTTACCGTCAATCAGCACCTTCCCGTCCTTCAGCCACTCAATACGGAAATCGTGGTATGAGTTGGGTGCACTAAGTGAACAGTTGAAGCTTATATCACTGCCCTGAGATTTGACAATGTTCTCTGCTGTAGGCTTAAACCTGATATCCTCATGAATTTTCTTCACAAATGGAGAATCGTCAATCTTGGTTACAACTTGCGTTTCTCCTGCTGGTGTTGGCGTGTAGGTTAATGGTGTCCCATGTTGAGCAGCCATTATAGTCTTCGTAGACCGAACAACGCGAGTTCCAGCCCCAGGTCTCAGATCCACTTTCCTCCATATCCTAGTATCAGGCCCTTGGACAGGTCCTGCAGCAATATCTGTTAAATAAACCGCAATTAACATTTTAAAATCCACTCATTATATTTTTACTCACAAGCTACACTTTAATATTCCAGGGGTCCTAAATAAACCAGCCTCCGGACGCTACATGTGGTCCACCTCTCCTTCATGTTAGACACTCAACAGATCTGCTGCTTAACCAGGCCCCCCATGCACTCAGTTCCTTGATTGCCAACTCTAAGACGTTGCTTTAGTTGGAATTCAGGGAATCGAGAGGAATATCTGAAAAAATATTTAAATCTTAATGGGAAATCAACATTACAAGTCAATTTAAAAAAAACATCCATTATGTTGCGCTCGAGACCTATACTTGTGTCTCATTTCTTTATCGGGGCTATGCCAGACATCAAATTGGCCAAGCAGAAACATCACTTTTATGAGAAGTGATTTTGTGACCAACACCATCATCAAGTCAGAGTTCACAAACATGTAACAGGCATGTCTAACTGGGCGAGTCATCTCCTCTTGACTGCATGAGGGATAAGAAAACAGAGGGAAATAGGTGGGGAGGAGGCTCATGTTGAATATAAACACTGGCATGGAGTTGTCAGGCCTAATTGCCTGTTTTGTGCTCTGATGTTCTACATAACATATTGTGGCACTGTACGTACACAACCTGCTTAAGATGCACTGGTGGTGTCCAAGTTATGTGACTTAGCACCGGAATCGCTCACATTGTTGTTTGCGATCTGAGAGTGAAAGCTGATTGGAGTTGTTCAGTAAACAATGTTGTGGGGTCCTCAGCTTATCCTTAACTTTGACCGTGCCTTCAGCTCCCCTCTCGACTCTCTTCCTCCTCCTCGCTCCCTCCCTTCCCTCCCCTCACCCTGACCATTTCCCCCCTCCTCTCTCCCTCCCTTCCCTCCCCTCACCCTGACCATTTCCCCCCTGCTCGGGTCATGACCCAACTGTGCAGCGCCTTGGGACGTCCTCCTGACGTGAAAGGCGCTCTATAAATGGAATCTTGTTGTTGTTGTTGTTGTTGTTAACATGGGCAGAAGGCGCAAATCAGTAGGTGAATAGTGTATCGATTCATCAAAATTTATACATCTTTCTTTTAAACATAATATTTCTCCCCCTTTGATTTTCTCCCCTATTAAGCTTGAATAATCGATCCTGGAAAAAAGAGGATGCAAGTTTTAGTTCTTGGATTAAAAGAAATAAGTTTGATTGTGTTTACAGACAATGCAATACTCTAAACCTCAGGTTGAACTGGGAAGCATATGACTTGGTGTAATGTTGCTCCAGTCAGCATTTTATTTACATTCCTGCATGATTAACTCAGCAACAAAATTCCTCCTTACAGTGACATATTTCATCTCCACAACCACATAGTTAAACCCACTGCAAAACAAGTTCCCTGCCACAATAAGGAAACAAATATTCTTATCAATCATCACCCAACAGGTTTGTCATTCGCCTCTGTTCATTCAGATGAACTTTTAAGTAGCTTTCCCCAATAATACAGTAAAGGCACAGCTTGAAAGATTGCATGTTTGAATGTGCTGTCTGTGTCGAGTTGGCTGATCTCAGGTGGGCAGTAGTTGGGATTACAAATAGACCTGAATGCCCCTGGGATATAGGGAAAGAAAAATACTCCAGGGTTCTGGTTTCTGTCATTATCTAGAAATCCCTATTGAAAGGTGCTCATGCATGTCAATGTCGGGTGGGGCTTGGACCGGGTCTATCTATGAAGATCACACAACGTGCCAATACTCATTGACAAACTTTTTCACATGTCAGTAACCAGTCATTGGAACAAGGTAGCAGACACACCTGGCACTCATGGAACCCCATAACCGAGTAGAAACAAAATGAAGTCAAACACCTTCAAGAGAGGAGTAATGAACAGAAGATTCTGCAGTTTATTTTGGGTCAGCCACATGTCTGACACATATGGAAACCCATCACCATGCTTAAGAGAATTCAAACCAAACTGAGATTTCCATGCATCCCACCTACACATGGACATACCAGAGAAGTTTGTTGGAATGGAATGCTCACTCTCTCCTTGGAGGGACTCATCCTGCTTACAGAATTCTGGAAAGTTTTGGGCACAGGATGACAAGAGCCGAGGCTTGGGGAAGTTGGGGTATTGCTGGTGTCTAACCACATAGTTTGCCATCAATAGCACTGTCTGGCAAGCTTTCTTGCTGCTTGTCCAGCTTGGACCACCCAACCTGTTAGGGCTTTGGCTTGCAGGGTTAACAGGAGTTGGGTGGGTGGATGGCCTTCAAAGTCCTGCCAATGAGTCAGGCTGGTTGTGCTTTCACCAGCAGACCTGGAGGTCTGAAGACTCGCCCAGCTCGGGAACCGGACTACCGAGAGGGTAGTCAATTCTAACATTCTGTTGTCAAACCTCTTCACAACTGATTCTGGAACACAAGTAAAATTCTGGAGGAAAGTGCCAAAGATCCCAACCCCAACCGAGTTAACTCTGAATTCTGCCTATTGCATATTAAGGGTGAGGCTGAAGGACAGCCAGAGGTTAGAACTTAAAAAAAGTCCTGTTTGTGTCTGCACATGGGGAAATCAACCTTTAATAACAACAACAACTTGCATCGATACTGTGAAGTAGCATTCCAGAGCGACATAGACTTATGGTATATGGCACCTTATCACATCATCAAAATTTCTTAAAGCACTTTCCAGGATTTTCTGTCAAGGGCAGTGGCTGTGTATTTGTAGGCAAACAGAGTTGTCAATTTGCACACAGCAATGTCCCACAAACAGCGATGAAGCGATTGACTAATTTTATCTCGGAGATTTCTGGCCAGGACACCGGGACAAACTCCTTTCTCTTTTTGAATACCATGGGAGGGGAGAGGATGCAGGGAAAGAGAGGTGGACGAAATTTATAACCTTTTATGAATATAGGACTGCTGGAGAGGTTTGCTCATTGCAACCGAGCACTGTATTTTGCAATGACAATTGTATGTAATTTTTGTAAATTGTGTAGTCATGTGTCCAAAATGAGAACTACAAAAAAAAGTCATCTCGATACTCAGTAATAATCTGACAATTTGATTTCCTTGGTTTGAAAATGAATCACTGCAGCGCTGGTTTTGATTTTTGCTAATAATCTTTTTTCCTGAATTAGAGGCATGAAGGACTTCAACCATAAAAGCTATGAATCTTGAAAGCTGCACTTCTCGTCAAAGAAAGAAAACGTCAAAAGATTTAGTATTCAACAATGCAGTTCAGTCCCCAGCACCCACAAATTAGCACGAAGGTTAAAAAGTGATTATTTCCCCCCCACCCCCTTAACTTTTTGGTGTGCTTCCCAAACTTTTAACAATGGCAATATCCGAGAAAGCAAAATTAAGTCTCCAGGACCACAAAATAAAGGAGACATCAAGTCTGCGATCCTTAAAACCTAGCCTATCTGTTAGTCTTAGACTTTAACCCGCCAACTCTGCTATAGAAACTACAAGGCGGAGGCTTCTTGTAAACAAAGCTTCTTTGCCTTATCAGTTCACAGTACAGATCATTCAGGGGTAACCAATTGTTTTTGCGGCCTTGCTCACTGTAGTGATATTGCCAGTTTATCCTAATGTTACCATAAAAAGAGCATGGGACAGAATAATATTGTGCTGCTTAGTCTTCAGAATGAGCCTGTTGACTGAGTATCTTGAATCAAAGCGAGGAGCGACAATAGAGCTGATTGTCCGGAAAAAATGATTTCAGAAACTCCCAAGTGTTGAAAACCAGAGGTGATAATACACAATGAGATGTGATAATTATCACCGAAAATTGCATCCCACATTTTTGTACCTCGTAATGTGAGGGAAACAAGACACAGTACTCAAGATTTCTACACAAATATTGTACTAGACGTGAAGATCGCTCATAGCAGGAGGGGGATGTGAAGCTAGAAGCCTGGTTATGGTCTTCATTTGTAACTTCTGGGCTACAGAAAAGCTGCCTGATAATGGAGTGGATCTCCAGCTTCCATTAATACTGCACATCACCAGTGTCATAGCTTTTATTACAGAAACACTCCCTTTGGAAGACTCACGTGTAATAGATGAGATTGGTTTACATAGATTCTTTATTAGTTTTATCACAGCTTTTATTTATACCTTTTTTCCCCACTTAGTCTCCCACCACCACACGGATTAAAGGCTGTGATGGTCGAGACAGCATCTAAAGATAGGACTGCTGCAAATCTAGTTTGGGTTTTCACTTCATAAGCCGATTGCGGGACATTGCTGTGCGTAAATTGACTAGATTCGCCCACAAAACACATTCAGTACACTTTACAGTATATCCAGTGAAGTACTCTGGGACACCTCCCAAAGTGAGAGACAACAACAACTTGGATTTATATAGCGCCCTCCACGCCGGACAGCGTCTCAGAGCGCTTTACAGTGACAGATCTCGGGGCCAAGCCAGAGGGAGGGGGAGGAAGGTGACCAAAGGCGCGGTCAAAAAGAAAGGTCTTCAGCTGAGACCTGAAAATAGGAAGAGAGGGGACGAGGCGAAGGGAGTGAGGAAGGGAGTTCCAGAGCCTAAAGTTGTGTCAGAAGTGGGATCAGACACTATACCAAATGCAAAGACTTATTATTAATAATTTTTTAAAAATCAGACAGTGAGAGAACTTTTTAAATCTCCGGCGTTGCAATCATGTACTGATGAACAGACAACAACCACAGGTAGATTTTGAGGAACAGTGCAAAACACCACCTGCCGAATCAGCACATTTAGCCAATGAACACTGTTGCAAGCAACATTTAATACTGAACCGGTTTCAAAATATGTCAGCAATGCACACACAGAGAAATCCTAAGCCTCTCTCCTTCCAGCAGCTTTTAATTTAAAACAGCCAGAGGGTCAGAAGACTGAGAAAGATTATTTATACATTCAGATCCAGCCAACATAAATAGAATAGTATTTTTTTTGTTTGAGTTAGTTATCAAAGGTCAGAAATGTGAGGAGTCTGGGTCACCACAAGCCAGTTCCTGCAGGGCGGGTGTGG